AATAAAAAAATACAACAATTTTCGAGTGAGATGAGCCATTTATTCCATTGCATTAAAAGATTTTCAACAAAGGTTGGCAAAATTACATCATGAAATGGAGGGGATTACATTTCAAGTAGAACTAGAAGTAAAATAACTTCAGACTTGTTGTGTTCTATGGCCTGGATATGGTTTGGCCATCCAGATCTTCCAAGTAGCATGCCCATTTGCCTGCCAAACCGATTATCTTATAAGATCCTTTCCAATCTGCTCTCAATTTTCCTTCTCCCGGTACTGAGGTGTTGCCCATTACTTTGCGCAAAACCCAATCCCCAATTTTGAACTATTTAGAATGGACCTTCTGGTTGTACTTCTTGGACAACTCTTGTTGATATGCCGCAACATAGATTAATGTCTTTTCTTTCCGTTCTTCCACGAGGTCCAACTCTAAGATAATGGCTTCTGTATTTAAGTCCAACTCAAAGCTCTCACTCTAGATGGTAGGCATGTCGATCTCCAATAGGATGACTACCTCCATATCATATGCCAAGGTAAAAGGCATCTCCCTTAGTGAACGTCTCGACATTGTTCGATAAGCTCAAAGGACATTAGGAAGTTCCTCGGTTCACTTTTCCTTTGTTTTTTCCAATTTTTTCTTTCATCCATTCAGAATGATCTTGTTTGACGCTTCAACTTAACCATTCGATTGAGGATACGTCAATGTTGAATTGTAGAATTCTATCTTTAACTCCTCACAGAATCCTCAAAACAACTTTCCATTAAATTGGGTGCCGTTATCGGAGATCAAGGCCTTGGAGATTCTGAACTGCGTTATCACGTTTTGCCAAACAAATTTCTTCATATCCTTCTTTTTAATGGTTGCCAGAGGTTCAGCTTCCACCCATTTGGTGAAGTAATCTGTTGCTGTAATGAAGAACTTGCGGTTGCCTGGCATGGTTGGGAATGGTCCTACTATGTCTAACCCCCACATTGCAAATAACCAAGGACTTGTAAGAGAAATGAGTTCTCTGGCCGGTTGATGAATTTGGTGTGTAAACTTCTGGCATTTTTCATATTTTCTCACGTATTTCTGCACGTCGGCCTGCATACACAACCACCAATTTCTTGTGAAATAGCGCAGTAAGCTAGAGATCTTCCGCTGATGTAGCTTCCACACATGCTTTCATGGATTTCAAAAAGAAAGGCTTCGATTTTGTTTGGATGGACGCATTTCAAGTATGGTCCTGTGAAGGACTTCTTGTATAAGGCGTCAAATGGGAATAGCCAAAACCACTTTGACTTTGCCCGGATTTTGTTTCTTTCTTTCTAGTAAAGATTATGATGGGGTCTATCCAAGAGGGCCCTAGCTTAGCACAAAGGACTTCTGTCAGTTCTAGTTCTTCAATACTAGGCCTTGGAAGGAATCCAAGCAATAGAGGGCCAGGTGTTGATTTGTCTTCCATGGAAGCTAAACCGGATAACTCATCTGCCCTGTAGTTCTCTTTACGACCAATTTGTTCAACTCTAATCGCTTGAAACTTCTTGAGCTCTTCCTTTACTAGGGTTTGGCATTTGGCCATTCTTCCGTTCTTGGCCTCGTATTCTCCAGATACTTGGTTGACAACGAGTTAAGAGTCGCTGTAAACCATTAGCTTGGATACTTTTAGTCAGAGTACACTTTTTAGCTTGGCTAGCAACACCTCGTACTCAGCTTCATTATTTGATGCTGGGAACCCAAATGTGATTGAATGTTCTACGGTCAAACCATCTGGCGAGATCAAAACTATGCCCAGTCTGGCACCATGCTTGTTTGAAGTGTCATTAATGAAAAGTTTCCACATTTCTCTAACGAACAGCTTCCAACACTCTAAAGGATCTTGAGATTTTTAAAAGATCGAGCATTTTCTTTTTTTGCTCGGCTTAACTATCTGTGGGGCCATATCTTTACTCGATAACTCAGTTATTTTCTCTTTAAGCGTGCCATCGTTGACTGCAACTTGCATGACCTTTTCTCCCTTAACGATGCGTTGCTAGGTTCAACAGGTTGTCCTGTTATTTTCAAACTCAACAGCGCATTGCTAGGTCCTAGTTGCTTTTTAGTTAGTAAGTTAATGGTCTGGTACGTAACTCCCGCAATGTCTTCCCCGCTGTGTTCAGTTGGTAGGTTGGGATTAGTTAGAGAGGGCGTATGCTATGCAATTTTCGCGGTGCCCACTACTCTTGGTCCGATTGCATCGGTAAGACCCACCGAGTAAACCGGGTGAGTCCCTGGCGAGAACTCTGCAATGAAGTTGGCTAACGTTTAGGCTTTGATGGCGATTTTAGACTAGAACTTGATGTTGAACTGTCCCAATTCAACTGCCCATTTCAGGATCCGACTGGAGAAGTCTACCCACTCAAACAAGGCTTTCAATGGAAATTTCGTTAGTATGATAATTGTATAGGCATGGAAATAATATGCCAACTCCCTCGAGGCCATCAATAGTGTTAGGCTAGCTTTTCCAATGGCAGGTATCTTGACTCCGCCGAAAGTAATGTTTTGCTCACATAGAAGATTGGGAGATGTTGTATGTCTTCTGCCCTAACAAGCACCGCGCTAATGGCGTGCTGAGAGATGGCTAGATAGAGGAAAATTTCTTCACCCGACATTAGCGTTATGAAAAGTAAAGCGGATGAAAAGTATGTCTTCAGGTCTGTCAACGCTCGGTTGCATTCCTCATCTCATGAGAACTTCAACTTTAGAGCTTGAAAGAAAGGGCAATAACAATCTTATGACCGGCTTATGAATCTATTAAGCGCAACTGCCATTCCAGTAAGATGTTGCATGTCATTCACTGAGTTTGGTCGCTTTAACTCATGTATGGCCTTGATTTTTGAGGGATCCGCCTCAATTCCTCAGTTGGTCACCAATAAGCCTAAACTTTCTTAATCCCACACCAAAGACGCATTTAGACGCATTAAGGCGCAACTTGTGCCGCTTAAGGATCACGAACATCTCAGCTAGATCGTTCAGGTGATTGGCCTCATGTTTGCTCTTGACTATCGTCAATGTATGCTTCCATAGTCCAGCCAAGTAGAGGGGCGAACATCTTAGTAATCATTCTCTAGAAAGTGGCTCCAACATTTTTCAGCCTAAAGGGCATGACTTTGTAACATAACAACCCCTTTAGGGCCGTGAAAGAAGTGATTTTCGAGTTCGACTCATACATGGTGATCTGGTGGTAGCAGCAATAGGCATCTAGGAAACGGAGCCTATTGTTTCCAGTTATAAGGTCCACCAATTGATCGATTTGGGGCAATGAGAAGTTATCTTTGGGGCAAGATCTGCTAACAGTATTGTAGTCGACGCAGACTCACAATTTGCCATTATTCTTGGGCACAACTATCGTGCTAGAAATCTACCAAAGGTAGTGCACCTCTTGGATTGCCCTTGTTCCAACAAGTTTTTAACTTCTTCTGCCACCACCTCGGCCTGATAAAGTGCTGATTGTATGACTGATCAAGCGTCTGAGAAAACATGTAGCTTATGGAAAATAAAGTTTGGATCGACGCCAAGCATGTCGTAAGGCATCTATGTGAATACTTCAATGTTAGCTACCGGGAAGTTTACAATCTCTAGCTGTTCTTGAGAAAATTACGATGAGCCAAGCAAAAAGAATTTACTTGGGTTGTTCTCATCAATCCGCACTTCCACCAAATCTTCAACGGCATTGCCTTCGGCTTTTTTGCTGACATCGTTTAGGACCATCTGATCTTTCGATCATTTGATCATTTGCATGAAGCCCTTGGCTACTCGACTTCCATTTACGACCACAAAATATTGTTTGGCCATAACGGGATCACCCCATCACTACAACAAAACTGAGTTTTTACAACTTCATATCAACGACATACAATAAATGCAAGCCGTGGTTTCTCATTTTTACAAATTGCTTTTTTTGCATGTTATAAATAATTTTCCAACCACGACGTGTCTATTGCGTAGGTCGTGAATGCTAATAACGATGATTTTTTTACGGCTTACAACGTTAGCTGTAAATAATAAAACTTTCTATGACGTGCATATGGCATGCCGTTAATACATTAATTACATACGACACGCGTACACCAGCTATTAAAAATATTAAGCATTTCATGGCACACAAAAAGATAGCGATTAAAAATTACGCTTTTCACGTCACACAAAAAACCAACCGTGTAAAATATTACACTTTTCACGACACACAATTGCTGTCGTGAAAGGTCATATCAAAAAAAAAATTAGTGCCAAAATAAAAATTTCAAGCACGCCATACACGAAAAATTTAAAAAAACAAAAAAGAAATGATCAAAACTCCAACTCCCCTAACATCAATTTTACACTTACATACATATCTCTTTAGTTCTCAAGAAGAAGAAATGTAATGGGTTAGAGAGAGAAGCTCTGACATCTCTCTAGAAAACTTGTTATTTTCTAGGGTTTAATATCTCATTGATTTCCTAACGTCTGTAGCTATTTTTACCATTTATGATGAAAATTTGGGGGGTTTTACTCAGAATTGATTGGGTAATCTAGGGCTTGAGAACTGTACTCGTGAAGCACTGTGTGTGCCTGCGATTAAGATGGTGGAACATTCTGGTTCCCCTTCTAAATCGATGGAAGAAATCAGAGAGAGATTGAATGTGATGGAAGCTAATATTGCTGGGGTAAATCGGGATGATCTAATCCCTCAAGTGTTTCTTCAAGATGAGTTATCAACGCCGGCTGAGAAGGCGTTCAGTCTTCTCCAACCTCAGTGGTCAGACATTGTTGAACATGAAGGTAATCAGGAGGCTATGTTGAATCGAAATCTGGTTTCGGCGCTGGATCCGGTGAAGAATGCGTCAGAAGGTGTAGATTGGCTGAATATACCTTCGTCTGTGCTGAGTTGTATCCATCTGATGTGAATATGTCCATTCCTGAGGGAGAAGTTCCTATAAGGGGGTCAAGGTGGTTCCCATATGGGAGGAAAGTCCGGCCAACAAGGGTCTTGAAGAGGTAGGGGAGGCCGTGGTATCTCACATAGCTTTGGTTCATCAATGGGTGTTCACGTGGTTTCCTCCGCAGATTTGGGCTCGGGTTCAGATGGTGGAGGCCAAGTTATCCCTGAGCCTGTTCAGAAGAAGACCTGGGCTTCTGTGGTTACCTCTAACCAAAAGGCTTCTGTGAAACTGAGGTATTTTCCACCCCCTGATTTATCTGATCCCATTGTTGTGATGCCACCTAGTTAAAATTCTGCTAAATGGGATACCTGTTCGGTTGGGCATTTTCTTGAAAGGAAGTTGAATTTCAATTATGTTAAGACCTATGCATTTAATTTTTGGAGGGATAAGTGTTTGAGAGAGGTCATCTCTACAAATAATGGTTTTATGTTCTTCCTCTTTGATTCGGTTGAGAATAGTGCCAGTGTTTTGGAGGGTGGTCCTTGGTTCTTTGTGAGCTGTTTTTTGAATTTTTTTTGATTGGTTGATTGAGCTATATTATTTGCCATTTGTTGAAATCTAATAGTATTACAAGCTGGGAAAGGAGTTACAGAATAGAGCATACACATTTGAGAACTAAATTGTGTTACCTTTACATGTGAAATCCTTTACTGAGTTGTCAATTTCTTTAATTGACAGCTCCAACCATGTAGAAAATAAAATCAGTTTCTTTCTTTTTTTTTAATGGATTAGTATTCTCTTGGTATACATCAAAGAGTTAAAGGCCTCATTAAATTGTATTTGATAATTTGATTAATGAAATTGATGTTGGTGCAACCAAAACACAGTGGATTCATAGGAATCGTGGAGTGTGCATTCATTTACGAGCCATTGACAGACAATGAATTTGATAAAGAAGCTGCAAGTAGGGCCTTGGCTTTCGATTTGGCCTGGTAAGATTTGGCTAAGATATTCAAAATTAAGATGAGCAGTAGATATTGAAAGTACTAGTCACCCAAATATGCCAATTCAAGTAACTCCTTAGAAACTTAAATAAAAATTCATTTTATGCATTAATAATAAAACTATACAAGTATTTGGGGGATAGTTTATTCATACTCACTTTTGTGTCATAACACTCTTCCTTGTGCACTTGTGTTCTCTTCTTACCTTTATCCTTTTGGGACATGTGTCATGCTGAGTTCAAAAATTACATAAAATTATCTAACTAAATGTTTTGTATAAAAACATATTTGAATGCTTTGTGGGATGGGAATAATAGACATTATATGAGACTTATGCTAGTTTGGTATCTAAATAGTTCTGATATGTCTCTTAAATGTAGTCATTTTTGTTTTTCTTCTTCTTCCTCTTCTTCTCCAAATTATTATTTTTTTGCTTAATGATTCTTGGAATTTATTCTGTTTTACTGTCTTGTTGCCCATCAATTGAGATGTTCCTTCAATTTGTTGAGGTTGACTTTTGGATATAGTTTCCCTTTTCTTTTGTTACTTTCAAAAACTAAGTCACAATCATAATGTGGAAAAAAGTGTTGTTTTCCTAGTAGTATATAGCTCTTAGTTGTAGAAACCTCCTACTATGAGTGACAAATCTGCTCTAGAATTGTGTTTCAAAGTAAGAATCAAGTTAGAATCTCATTCCCATCAAGAAAGAACCACGTTCTCAACTGAGATGAAACTTCTCGAACATATGAATCCCAAAGAAACAAAAAGAACATTTATCAAGCAAGAGAAAATGTATTGCAACCATTAAAAGGAAAAAATTAACTTAAATTTATACTACTACTCTGTATTTACAATTTATTTTTTATATTTACAATAATAACAATTTTCAGTTGAAAACTTGATACGATTCTTCAATATTTATTCATAATTTAACATATTTAGTACAACTAAGCAATAGTTTTTTCTTACAATATACTAATATATGTAGGCATTCGCAACCTTAGACACCTTTATGAGCCCTCGCTCCCCCATCTTCGCCCCCACCTCGTCCCTGCTTCTGCTTCGTGCAATTGAGATATATCTTTAATATTAAGTATTATTGGGTATTGATTCGCTCTTTTGTATTTATTGTTGCAGTTTCATGCAACTTGATCTGGGCCAGCTGCAAGTGAGAAATGAATTTAGTTGGCATGGATGCCCAGAGAAAGATCCTTCAGCCGTCCATCTTGATGTTCTTGATGCAGAGGTATTTCTTTCTGTTTGAAGTCCTAGTTCAGACATTAAACTTGAAGTAATGAAGTAATGTTAACTTTAGCTGTAATATTATAGATTTTGGGAATCAACATGGCTATAGGAATCATTGGTTGTATTGGTAAGCCAATGATACGGGACGGACAAGGAATTAATGTATATGTACGACGTAGTTTGAGGGATGTCTTTTGGAAAGTTCCAACATTTTCATTAGGAGTGAAGGTATTTTCTGTGACTGGAGATCTACTTTTGAGTTTGCCATTCATTCTTCTTCCATCGTTTGGATTTAGCAATCTTTATGATTTGGGGCATTTGCATGGATACATGGGTTTCTATTTTGTTCCTTGGCATGGACTCTTATCGTTGACTTCTCATGTGCATATATTAGCAAGAAATGCAAGAACATCAATTTAAACTACCTAACCCCTACATTCATCCTCACGTTTACATGCATCCTTAGGTTAGATGTATAATAAGTGGATACAAGATTTAACTTTGTTGGACAAGGCCTACCCTGGAATTGATATGGACACACCTGTTTAGTTTACTATCTCAACATATTCTTAGAATGTATGGCATCTCTGCAGATGGCTGTAAGTGATGTAGTTACAATTAGTGTGGTTGTTATGTTTTAGTACCATAAGAGTTAGAGTTAGTTGGGTCTTTTATCCTATAAATAGGTGGTTAAGCCCCTTTAGTATTTAGTTAATGATATTTTGATATTGAATATTTCAAAGCTTGAGAGCTTTTGTACCCATTTCGGGATTCTCTCTCTCTAAAGAAGTTTCTTTCTTGATTTGGTTCCATTAGTAAGTGAAGATAGAAATAGAAATGGAGACAAAAGTGAGGTCTGCCAATTTGAAGTGGTAGAGAAAGAAGGAGAGGAGTGTTCTTTTATTTGATGAGGATTCAATATAAGAAAGAAATGCAGTAGAGAAAGAAGAAAATGACATTCACGAATGTATTCTTCCATGAAAATGACATTCAAGAATGTGTTCTTTTATTCTTCAATGGAACATCTGCTCCAAACCCATCTTCTTCTTCTTTTCAATTTGAAGTGGTAGCAATCTTATATATATATATAATTTTTATTTTTAAAGAAGAACATTTTTAGCCAATTAAACCTTGCGCCTAGGAGGAACGTGTAGTGTCAGAATTCATGCCCCTTGATGACATTGTCCATGGAGCTTCCTTGAGGTTACCCACATTGCCATCGTTTGAACCGAAAACCTTATGCCAAACATTTAGCCAAATTGCCATGTTATCTGACATTTTGAGTTGGACTCTTTATTTTGGAACTTACAATGGTAATGGATAAAACCTATACAAACCTATACCTCATATATAGAGATCTTTTAACATAATTATGCAAGTTCCGAGTAGGTGCTGCATTGAAGTAGATTAATTCCACCTCTGCCTCTTTTTAAATTTAATTTTTCTCTTGAGCTTCTTATGGCCTGGATTTAGTGGCAAACTATATTTCTTGTACCAACTTAATGGTTTGTTTGAAGATTCCCACTCATTTCCCTCTAGAAACATTGTAACAAAAGAGGTAACTTCATTAGAGATAACTTCATTTGAGGTATGAAAAAAAAAGTTTTGCTTTTTGTGGATTTTATTTGCATATGCGTCGAGACTATTGAGATCTTGAATTTTTGCTAATTTTTCATTATGACATTGCTTTTATGGGGACATTGAATTATCTTATTAATTTAGGAAATGTTTTGTTGATATTTTAAAATTTCTTGATCATTTCTTAATGCCTCAAGAAATGTTTTTGTCTCTAAGGAGTTGGTTTTTGTACTTATGTGAAGTTTTCTTTGTCATGCAGACAAGAAATGCAATAGGGTTAGTTGCTCCAGCTATTGTCGCAGGTTTAGGTGCCTTAACATATACATTGGACACCCTCGTCCTTGTGATAGGAGCAAGTGGATTTGCTACAGCTGCAGCTACAACTACTATAGGAACTGTTGTCGGTAGTTTTAGATAATCTCTTAATAGTTGTCGATATGTTTAGAAAGTTAGATATGCATAATTTTGGATGGTTTAAACTTTTTGTATAGTTTAGAACTTAAGGATATAGTTTTTGAATGTTTGGAATGTATAGATAATTGTTGAATATTTATAATTTATGGATATAGTTTCTTTTTAATGTTTCAAACAATATTTTGGTGGTTGATTGATGTTTTGTGATGCTTGTTTGTAATATTTGTTAGATTGTACAAAATTAGTCAAATAAAATTTGCTGAATTTAAAAATAAAATATATAAAAAAAAAAAACTGCATATTTTACGGTAAGCATAATAAGTCATTGTATTACATATTTTATGGCACGCAATCAGCGTCATTATTTGTCTCACCAATTAATGGCGTGTAAAAGTAGTCGTAGAAAAAGTAACAACAACGCATAAAATCTACCATTAAATAGTTTTTAACGGTGACTAGAGGATGTCGTAGAAAAAGTAACAACGACGCACAAAATTTGCCGTTAAATAGTTTTTAACGGCATACAAAGCATGTCGTTGAAAGTGAATGACTTTCCATGACTGGTCATAATATGACGCACGTTGCACGTCACAGAAGGGTTTTTACAACGTGCATAGCGCATCGTAAAAACCCTTTTTTGTTATAGTGCATACTTCCTCTATTATCCCTGTCGAAGAGGGGAACCTCATTACTTGGTGGTAAGTTGACGTCACTGCTTGCATGGCATGAAGCCATCATCTGCCTAGGATCTGGTTGTAGGTCTAGGCTTTAATACCCAAAACTCCACCTACTTGACAACAGACCCCGCTTTGACTAGTAAGATAATTTTCCTAACCGGCCATTCTAGTTGTGAGTTGAAGCCAACCAATGGCGAGGTTGCTAGGGCTAACTCTTTGTCTTCTAGCTAGTTGCTTGAAAACATCATAATATATTATTTCGATCGAGCTTCCTTGGTCAATCAAATGCGTTTGATGTCAAAGTCTTTGTCGTGCAGCGTAACGACCAGCGTGTCGTTGTATAGAGTTTAGATTCGCTTCAGATTTCTACTAGAGAAAGTGAGGACATCTTTCACTTCAGTCTTGCCTTTCTTCACGGCGAGCTGGACAGATAAAACTTCCCTCATATGTTCAGCTTTCTTGATTATCCCTTTGAGCTCGCATACCCACGTTGGCTCGATGATCCCATAGATTACGTTGATTACACCTTGCGGAGGGGCGTCTAAGGCTGCTAAGCCGTTAGGTTCTGCTTGGCCCTAAGGCGCGGCCTTGACGCCTTCGTCAATGGTAGGTGCAGTGGTACCTCAAATTAAAGCCTCTTTGGGCATCTCTCAACTTAGCCGGTCACCAGATGTATTCCTCATCACGGATCTAGCTAAGAATGCGGTAGATTAGAATTTTGAAGACCGTGGTAATGCTTGTTCGGGCATTTAGCTTTCTCTTAGCATCGTCTGCGGCATCATGGGGATAGTTTGCCCAGTCAGAGTTACGCTTCTTACTATTGCAATTATTTTTGTGGTTGTTCGAACGGTTTTCCTCTTGTCCAATTGCATGAACTTTCTCCGCAACTCTCTTGTTTGCCACTATTGAATTTGCCTTCACGGCAGTTGTCGCCGCATCGTTCTCGGATGTATTCGTTGATGCATTGCATGAATAACTCCATGGTTAATGGTTGGTTCATGGCAAACAAGTCTCTAAATCTATGTCTAACGGGAAAACTGTGCTTATATTGAGTGATTACTAGGTTTGTCGGGCAATCAAGGATCTCGTTAAATGTTTTCCAATACTTGGCAATGTATGCCTTCAAGGAGTCACTCGGTTCCATCTTGATTTCCAAAAGATGGTCAACTTCTTTGGGCATTCTAGTGTTTGTCTTAAATCTGGTGACAACTGCCTCCGCTAACTGCTGCCACCTCTTAATACTCTCCTCTGGCAGCCTCTTAAACCATTTTAGGCCGAATTCACCTAAACTCGATGGGAAAATAAGGCACATCAGTGCATCGTTTCACCTGTGTCCAGCCATAACTTGCTGGTAATGGCTGACGTGTATGTATAGAGCATGAATTTTGACTGGTGGAAACCAGCGAGGAGCGACGTGTTCTCTATCTCAAGGGAAAAAATAGTGACGCTCAGCTACGCCAAATCCCTATCTAGTGGTAGGTGCGCTACTACTAGGCGAGGCGGTATCATTATGACCTCCTCACTGGCATGACCTCCGGGGGCCAACCGCTGCAGTGCCGGCACCATCTGAACCTACTGCCAACACACTCGCTCTTCCAATACATCCTTCAGATCTCTTGATCGATCGGAATACGAGTATCTCGACGTCATCAATAGTTGTGAAGGACGGTAGGTGCTCTCTCAAGTGCAAGACACCTCCGCCAGCACGACAAAGTCGTCAGCTCTAAAACTCCTTATAATGAAAAGTAAAGGAGTTGGCCGCGTACTCCGACTACCAGAATGGTGGAATTGGCCGCACTCACTATGGTTTCCTACTCCAGCAACATCCTTTCTCTGTAGTTGGTGCTTCATAGCTTCCATCTCCGCTTCCATCTTTATGATGATGGCTTCTTAGTCCCTCTGCTTGCTCTCAAAGTGTTGAATGTGCGACTCTCGCCGTCGGCGGCGCCCTTCCAGGCTCAGTGAGCGCCCAGAACTCCTTGCACATATGTCTCGCGCGTCTCTGGGGGGCCCTCGCATGGAGGTCTCTAAACCAGCCATCGTCGGAACGACGGACAAGTCATCATGCCACCAGACTGACTCTGGTGTAATGTCGTTGATGATAGATTTCTGAACATCATCGTTGGTCGCCATGAAAAGTGGACAAAAAAGCTTGGAGACCAAGGTTTTGTTTGTCGGATTCCTGCAAATAGCGCTAATTGTACGAGAAGCAAATATTCTTCGCTTCCATACTCCTTTTGTCCAAGCCTTGCATTACTCTGAACGGTGTTATAAAACCTAAAAGCACAGCGACGGTGAGCTACCCGGCGGGTGTGTTGCCGAAAAACTCCTCTGATTGTCAAGTTAGCACCTTTAAAGAGAGAAAGAAGACAAAAGACAGGATAGCTCTATGTAAGAAAAGATCACAAACCTGTTGCATGGAGACACCATAGGGTTTATATAGGTTGTGCGCACACTACATTGCTTGTCTTTTCCTGGACGAGTGGATGTACTATCCTTTTTCCGCCTTATACGTGTGTGCATCAATACTGCCAAACAATATCGACAAAACAGCCAAATGGTATTGACGCGTACGGATGGCAGGTTCCCTCCTTCGCACTTCAATTAGGCCACGTGGCAACTCTTGCCGAGCTATCCATAACCCGATGCAATGATGTCCACCCTTCAAGACCAACTACTTGCAACCGGTCTAAATTCAAGGTGCTCGACTAGTCACCTTCAGCTCAGTCAAGTTAGATGAACTCATCTAAGAACTCATCCAAACCAACCTTGCCCGGCCTTGAGTCATGGCTTACATGGTTAGCCCACTCGTAGCTGAGTTACCGACCTTAACCGTTTCCTCGCTAGGTCGTATTCTATTCATCCAGGAAAATTCCGCCTAGCCCCACAGCTTGGCCGAAATCATTGGCCTTCCCTTAGCTCGGTTGAAAGCAAGGCTACCGTTTGATTGAACTCCACCCTTGGTCCGAGCCGATTAGACATCTCAGCCCAACACCTGGGTGTCTTTCCAACCTGGTTGTTAGAACGGGACCCAAATTGGATTTTGCTCAGCCCCTTTGTTCGACACAAATTCCCCTCTTAATCACTAACATTGCATATAGTAGTCTCAATCCTTCATTATCATTTCACATCTCTCATCAAGTTTAATCTTTCAGGATGAAAAGGGGTTTTAATAGTGAGAATCAACTATAAAACATAAATAAACTTCAAATAAATCCATTGCAGAGATAGCAATTCAGTACATGCATGCTTTTTTTTACTTGTTATGCACCTTGGTTGATCTGATTTGCTTCAAGGAGTTTTCTAGTTGGTGCTCAAGATGCTCAAGCTCCTTTGTGGTTAATGGACCCAAATCTTCACCAAGCAGGTTTCTGCAGCAATCAGAATTGAATATTCAGATTTCAAGTTTGGATTGTGTTTTCATTATTTGTTTCTTTCTTTTTTGAGAAACAAAAACAATAAAAAAAAAAATTCCAAAACACTCATAACTTTCATTTTTGAGACATGACTGTTTACAAAAATTCAAAGAAAAAAACTCAAAAACAACTCATTTTGAATAGGTAATGGGATATGGATACGAGGCACCAGTAACTTTCTAGTAAGTTAGTTGGCATAGGCATTTTATTAATGACCTGAAGAAAGTTGATCTAAATTCTTAAGCCAAGTTTGTGCATTAATATATTCGTTTTTATTTCACTGATAAAAACAAAAAAACAAAAAAAAAAAAACTTAAGCCAAGTTATTTTTTTTTTTTGATAAGCAAAAAGAACTTTATTGATGAGAAAGCATACATTACATATGGGACAACATCAATAAAGAAAGGAAGTGCAAAAAGCATTCCCTTAAGCCAAGTTATTTAATAGCAAGCTACTGTTGTCTTATTTCCAAGAACACTCATGCAACTTTTTGATGTGGTACGGAATTATTACAAACTTTCCCTTTGTATCCTCACATTCTCTCGAGAGATCTCCATTCAAGTCGTTGGACCAGTAGGCTACTTGGGGCATCACAATACACAACTAAAAAAAGCTACATTTTTTTTTTTTTTTAATTAGCAAAAGAAAAGAAATTTTATGGATGAATCAGAGGACTATTATATCAATAAAGCAAAAAAAGTGAGATGAGTGCAAAAAGTATCATAGCGAATCAAGTTAATCCTAACTAAATTGGCATTGATAAGACCGCCCAATCATATGCTAACACATCATCAAGAGTTGGTGAGTAACCAACCACAAACACCAAAACCAACCTCACCCAAGTGGAAGCTAACCAAACCTATTACATGGATTTTTAACTAGATATAGAGAAGAAATAGTATAACGAAATTGTGTAACGTTCATGAATTTATAAAAATCAAAATTTATAGAAAAGGGAGACTTGGCAAAGGGTGTTGATTACCTCTGAGATTGTTGTAGGATCTCAACCCTAGTCTTGAGCCTCAGATATTCATGATAGCCATTCTGCTTTAGGACATGGTTAGTCATTTAGTGTTGTCATATTCAGTTGCATAACAAAATCCTTAATAAAATATATATATATATATATATTAAAAAATAATAAAAAGAGCTAATGAACAGCTTAGCAATTAATGATAAAATACACATATGCTGCTTCATTCCACTTTAGATTCTCTATCTATAATTTTATCCCAATTTCAGACGGCGTTTAAATCATTAATGATGATTTTTTTCAATGGAAAACTTTAGTAATGAAAAAACAATGAACATTAAACATTAATAAGATACATCAATAAAGGTAAGTGCTCCAAGCATTATAGCAAAACTCTCATCCCAACTAAAATGGCATCGAAAAGAAAGTCAAATCATCGGAGAGCACAAAACTCTCCATTAACAAGGATATATGTACATATAACCCAAGCCCACAGACCACTAAAGTGGACCAGTAGGGCCCAAGCCCATGACACAAGCACCCCAATGGGTGACAAATAAAGGTCAAGCCCAATGGTATAGGTCGGATTCAGTATCTTGGTAGATTGACCTCACTGAGCTAGATGGGAGAGTACCAAATTGGCTGGGAATACCCATTTCCGAATTGACCCAATCATCATGGTCAACTGGTCGGGGGTACTCTTTAAGGGTTTGTTTGTAGGCTCTTACTAACAACAAAGACCAATCCATCGTCAGCAAAGTCCATCTCAATTGGACCATGGACCATTTCTTTAATTTTGTCAATTTAATCTCTATTTATTTTTGTTCTCTATATTACAGTAGTTAACGAAGACACTAACAAAATGGAGAGTTTGCATATCAAGGTAACACATAATGCATATTTTAATGATCTCATAGAGTGTATTTTATTAATTGTGTTAATAATTTAGAGTGAGTGATGTTTTGATGCTTATAGTGTGTCTCGTCGTTTCTCGTTATTGATGTATAATGTAAGGTTGCATCTTGATTTCTTATTAATAAAGTCTTTTTCATTTTCTGATAACAAAAAAAAAATTATAATTGCAAAGATAACGAGAACTTTTCAATCCACTTTCAAAAAGAAAAAAATGAAGCTAGCATTCTTTGTTGTGGTCAATGAGTGCATAGTCATGTATATGTTTTCACTGCTTTTTATTTTATTTTCAAATATCATGCCTTTTGCAAAGTTTGTCCAAATGTATTACTTTGAAAAAAAAAAAAAAAAAATTATTTTGATGAGAAGACTATAAACTTTTAGACATTTTTTAAGGTATTTGATCATCAATTTTTTGGGGATGTAAAATCACATGACTAAAAGTGCTAAATAATATTGATTTTTTGTATATAGGATCTTTACATCGAGTCTCATCAAACGGTAATTTGATAAAAAGGACTGATATTTATCACAAAATCAACTATAATTAAAATCAATTATAATTATCAAACTTTAGGGAAAATATCAAGCAATCGCAACAAACTTAATTTTAATAACTTTTTCTTCATGTCTACGTGCAATTACTCTCTTGAATGGATTAGCATCTCACACATAGTACAAATGAAGATGACAACCGATGAACTAAAAATGCAATCTATTGTTTAATTTCCTTTTTATTTTCTTTTTTGTAGTCTAAATACATAAAAATAAATAATTATTAAAGAAAAATTGTAAATTTCTTATAACTTTTAATAAAGGGTAAGGAAGATAAATAAAGCAGCCATTAATAGAAGAAAGATTATTAAATTTAAACTGATGAAATCTCAATTAAATTTTTAGACAAGAAAAAAATATGTAAATTTTTTTTAAATGTACACCCAATTAGTAAAACATAAGTACTAATTAAAAGGAAAAAAAAATGTGTATGTACTAATTGGTAAGAACATTGTGGAGTTGTTTGATCACTCATATTTCATAGCTGTGATTTTCAGATTATAAAAAATAATGATAATAAAAGAAGAAGTGAATAGGACTGAGGAGGACTGTTGGCAAACAGTTCAAACTAGGCCTTTAGGGTTTGTACAGATTTGCAGCTTTAGAACTAAACAGGTATAGCCCTTTTCCCTTTCTCTTTCTCAAAACCATTTATTAATTCACTTATCTGCAAATCAAATCTTAACATAATGTTTTTTCTTTTTTTCTTTTTTTCTTTTTTTTTGAGTAAAATTAAAATGGAAATTGGGAATATGTTGCACCAATTTGCATCATGATTAACTAACAAAGGCCTTGGTAGCTTAATCTAAACCATTAATATTTGAAAATTTTAGATTTTACACCAAGAAAATAATAGCCATAATCACACAATTAAAACCCAATAAACCTTATTTAAAATTTTTAATATTATTATACAAAGAAATAGGTTTTCTTCTTCAATAATAATAACAAAAAGCTTCATTTTTTATTGAAAATGAAAATATTAAAATTGCATCTATAGAAAATAGATCTTAGCTCGAAGAATAAGAACCAAGAAAATTCAAGAAAAGATTTGAAGAAACAAATAACTCTTGTGAAATGATGAAAGAAAATTCAAGAAAATCTTAAAATCTTCATATCAAGTGATGATGTCTTGCTTCCGTAATCCTTATTTTCTCGATGTATTCTTTATTTCTTTATTTCGAGTAATAAAATCTCTTTTGCCGATCAAAAAATAATATGAACCAAGAAAATTCAAGAAAATATTTGAAGAAACAAACAAATGTTGTGAAATGATGAAACATGAAATAGATCGAAACATAAAGAACCAAGAACCAAGAAAATCGAAGAAATTTTTTGAAGAAACAAAGAAATATTGTGAAATGATCAAACATGTACAGATCTTGGTGGAAAACAAGACTATAAGACTTTACACATGACAAGAAAACCTAATCTGATGAACCCAATTAGGACAAAAGGATACCCACATATATACACACACCAAACATGCATATATAATATATATATATATATATTGAGAGAGAGAGAGAGAGAGAGGATACCTAGAGCTGCTACAGAACTCATAGAGCTTGCCACGGTTAGAAAAGATGATGAGAGCAACCTCAGCATCACAGAGAACGGAGAGCTCATAAGCTTTCTTGAGAATTCCATTCCTTCTCTTTGCAAATGTCACTTGCCTGTTTATTTTGTTCTCTATCCTCTTCAGCTCTACTCTTCCTCTCCCCATCTCTCTCTCTAAAAGTACACCTCTTTCCTATCTTTCTCTCTCTAAATTGTATTCTTGGTTAAGAGGGGTGAACCCACTTCTAGAAGTCCCTAGCATGTGAAGGACACCAAAAGAGAGATAAGGAAATAGTGGAAATAAAAGAAATAAAAGAAGAGAAAAGAGAGATAGAGAGAAATGGAGACCCTGAGCCTTGAGGGTAAGCTATCTTTGGTTACGTATTATACATGGTTTTTTGCTCACTTCAATCTATAACCTGAAAATTGCTATTTTTCTATAATTTACACAGAATCTTTCTAAATTTGTGTCAGTAAGATTTTATTTTTATTTTTTTAATTAAAATTTGTTATTTAGTTTAAATTGATAATTCACTCCTAATAAAAATTTAGGATAAAATAAAATACATTCCCTAAAATTTTACTTAAAATACAGATTGGCTCATGTGATTTTGAAAATTATATGACGTCCCTTCAAATTTCTAATTGCATAACAAATAATCTCTTTTATTAATAAATTATCGAGTCATTTAACAAATTTTAATGTTATCATAAAAATATTTCAATTAACAATTCAGGTTATTTTATTGTTGTATAAAAGAATAATTAGGATTTTTATTTTTTCTACTAAATTTTTTTTTCACGATGGAGTATTTGTAATTTCTAGAACTATAAGAGACAATTTATATTTTAAGTAAATTTCAATATATGTATTTATAATTTATCTATAAATTTAAAGTATTACCCAAGTTTCTCAATTTGGCCTTCGTTTGACATAAGATAAAATGGGATTTTTTGGCTAAAATAGTCACAAAAAGACAAAATAATTTTTTAGCTCAATAAAATAAAATGTCACATCCAAACTATAATCATTTTATTTTTTCTCTCACAAAAGTCAAAAAAATCAAAAAACCTATACCAAACGAAGTTTTTTAGCCCAGGCTAAAACAATCAAAAATTCAAAAAACTAATCCACATCCCAAATGAATCCTTAAATTACTTTATTTACAATAAATAATATTTTAAAATTTTAAGTAATACGTTTGAATTGAAATTTTTTTCTCTCTTCTATTCTTGAAATTACAATTTGGCGGTTTTATATAATTTACACATTGAATCTCTCAAAATATATGGCAATTAAATTTTTTTTTTAATTAAAAGGTGCTATTTGTTTTAAATTGATAAACTCATAACTCATTCCTGATTTTACTTGTTTGTATAGTGTTACCCATTTTTTCTCAATTTTAATTGCTTTCTTTTTATATAAAATAATATTTATAAATTTTATTTTTTCTCTGTTATTCTTGAAGTTAAAATTTGGGGGTTATTTACACCATTACTATTAGAAATTTCTCGATAAGATTTTTTTCTAATTTTTTTATTGTTTACTATTGGGGGTGGTCACAATAGAAATTTTATTCTTGACCTTGGACTAGGAGAGTTTATTTTTGTAATGATTTTGAGAAAATAGTTTTTTTTTTTTTAATTTATTCTGTGCATTGGACTAGTCGTGTTTCTGAATAGAGTAATGCTACGCTCATACAAAGTAAATTTCAATATATGTATTTATAATTTATCTATAAATTTAAAGTATTACAAAAGTTTCTCAATTTGGCCTTCGTTTGACATAGGATAAAATGGGATTTTTTTGGCTAAAATAATCACAAAAAGACAAAATAGTTTTTTAGCTCAATAAAATAAAATGTCATATCCAAATAATAATCATTTTATTTTTTCTCTCAAAAAAGTCAAAAAAACCAAAAAACCTATCCCAAACAAAGTTTTTTAGCCAAGGCTAAAACAACCAAAAATTTAAAAAACCAACTCACATCCCAAACGAATCCTTAAATTACTTTATTTATAATAAATAATATTTTAAAATTTTAAGTAATACGCTTGAATTGAAATTTTTTCTCTCTTCTATTCTTGAAATTACAATTTGGCGGTTTTATATAATTTACACATTGAATCTCTCAAAATATATGGCAATTAAATTTTTTTTTTAATTAAAAGGTGCTATTTGTTTTAAATTGATAAACTCATAACTCATTCCTGATTTTACTTGTTTGTATAGTGTTACCCATTTTTTCTCAATTTTAATTGCTTTCTTTTTATATAAAATAACATTTATAAATTTTATTTTTTCTCTGTTATTCTTGAAGTTAAAATTTGGGGGTTATTTACACCATTACTATTAGAAATTTCTCGATAAGATTTTTTTCTAATTTTTTTATTGTTTACTATTGGGGGTGGTCACAATAGAAATTTTATTCTTGACCTTGGACTAGGAGAGTTTATTTTTGTAATGATTTTGAGAAAATAGTTTTTTTTTTTTTAATTTATTCTGTGCATTGGACTAGTCGTGTTTCTGAATAGAGTAATGCTACGCTCATACATAATAATGTGAATGAAATAACACCATTCACATTAAAATAGAACTCATTAAAAAAATCTTAAATTTGTAAAATAAAATAATTATATATAAAAACCTTTTAATAAATCCTTTTGATATCTTGTTTCTCATTTTAAAATTAGATTTGTATTATGAGATTAAAATAAAACGGTATGTTTGTTAAAATTTATTTAGAACATGAAAAAATTAACTTAAATTCCCTGAATTATTTTTTGAGCTAAAGAAGGAATAAGGAGAAAATCTTTGAAATAATAATAATAATAAAACATTACCGAATAACTTAATTTTTCAAAGTACAATTGTGTTAAGCATAAAATTTCAAATTTCTAAGTTGAATAAGCTCTAAATATTTTTTGTCAAATGAAAATATGTTTTTAAAATTAAAAATCATTATAAAAAAAAAAGGTCTAACCACATAAAGGTAACCGCTGGAGTTAAACCTTATAAGAAGTTGAGACTCCAGAGGTCACCCTTTGATGGTTGTTACATAGCAGGATTATGCAATCATTGAGCGATAATTCACAGACTGACACACAGGCGGCGATTTGAATTCACACTACTGACATTAGGTACTGTTTGCTCAGGCTTGATAGGTTGTCAACCATATGTGTTGTCGTCCGATGGCAAACTCTGGAGTGAGTGGAATCTGAGACCTTAAGGCTTATACCTCAAAATCTTACCAAAAGTCACACCCCTTATATTAAAAAAAATTATTATTATATATTGAGTAATACTTGAAATCCTAAATATTTTATTAACATTTTTATCAAATATTTTATATGAATGTAAAATTTACATAAAATTCACATAATATAAATTCTAAATTCATATAAAATATTTACTTATTTCGTTCTAAAATATTAGTCACTTATTTTATTTTTTATTGTCTTAAAATATTAGTCCCTTTTTAAAAAATCAAAAATTAAAATAATATGAATTTTCTATTTTGCCCTTCTTTTAAATTCATTAACAACACAAAAAAGTACAATTATGACAATTGATATTTTCAAAAAAAATTGTACTATCAAAAAATAATTTTGAAAAATTAATATTTTTAAAGTGTAATAATTATATTATTAAAAAAAATTAAATTCCTCCAAAAAAATCATCATTTTAAGATGAAATGAGCTATAAAAATGAAAAATGCTTGGTAGCTCAAATTTGTGTGATTCGAATGACTCAAATATATTAAAACGATATTATTTTATTACCAAAATAATATCATTTTGAGACATTTGAATCATTCAAATCATAAAAATTCAAATTACTAAACATTATTATTGTATAACAGTATTGATAACACATTTGCTTAAAAGCAGTGGCTACTTCATGTTTGTGTCAAAAAAGAAAACAACAAAATCTACTGAGAATGTCAGCATCAACCTTTTGTTTTAATCAAAGCAAGTCAGTGTCAACCTTACAAGTGGGGTATTCCAGACTTGTGGGTGGACACGTGTCGAGTTCACAGCAATGCATATATATTCTTTGGGTCCTCACTATTTTCGTTAATTACAAAGGATGGAGGCTTGTTCGCAGTCTGGTTTTAGAAATGAAAGTTGCGTTTGCTAGAGTTTTTTAAATTTGATTTGATAATAGAGTTATATTTTGAATTTGTAAGTTTTGAAATTATGATTTAAGTGTAAAAAAAAATTTTGGTAAAAGAGTTTTGAATTGAGTTAGAAATTTTTGATGTGACATATGATATTTAATATAAAAACTTATAACTCATAACTAAATACACAATTCAAAATTTTATTAAAACTCATAAAAAAAATTAAAAATTCAGAAAATATTTTTTATTGAATATATAAAAATTAACACGTATCAATTGAAAAAAAAAATAATATTGCACTATTTAGGTCAACCAACCGAACGATCGGTGGGACATCTAGTGGGACGTCCGGTGCGACGATTGGTAGCCCAAATTTTTCCCGCCTCCGATTGCGTTTTTCAAAAGTAAATGTAAAATTAATTTTTAAAAATCCTAAACAAACGTTATGTTCAAATGAAGCTCTGGAACTAACTTTCCAGAGCTTCACCAAACAGAGCCGAAGTTGTGTCTCCGGTTTTAGAAATGAATGTACTGTTGTGAAAGGATTTGCAATTCGGTTGCGATCGAAAAAAATTTAATCCGTTATTTGTTTATTGGATTAGTGAATTGAAAAAAATCAATTTGTATTTATCTATTGAATTAACGGATGTGAATTGAGTAGATTGACAGATGGAAACGAATCCATTTAGCATTTTAAATTTTTAAAAATTTTGAACATAATACAATAACTTGTCAATATTTTTTTTTTATAACAATCCAACTCAATATAACTAAAAAATTATCAAGTAAATTGTTAAATACCAATAATAAATACCTATAAAAAATCATTAATTATCAAAACTATTTCATTATTTTTTTATTTAAAAACTATTTAATTTGATTTTTTTTTAAATGACAAAATTAAGCCTCATATTTTTTACACAAAATTACCAAATATCAACACTTGCTATTTGATAAAAGTATTTTCAAATTGAAAATACAATAGAATATCTAAACTCTTTTTCAATTGAAAATACAAACAGAATATCTAAACAAATTGAAAATACAAAATTTTACAAATTACTAGAGGTGCTCGCGGTTTGGCAGTTCGGTTGCGACCAAACGAACCTCAAATCCGTCATCCGTCCAAAACTAGGCGGATT